GACTAGACTATAGACTAGCCTATAGACTAGACTATAGACTAGACTATAGACTAGACTACAGACTAGACTAGACTATAGACTAGACTATAGACTAGACTATAGACTAGACTATAGACTAGACTATAGACTAGACTATAGACTAGACTATAGACTAGACTATAGACTAGACTATAGACTAGACTATAGACTAGACTATAGACTAGACTATAGACTAGACTATAGACTAGACTATAGACTAGACTATAGACTAGACTATAGACTAGACTATAGACTAGACTATAGACTAGACTATAGACTAGACTATAGACTAGACTATAGACTAGACTATAGACTAGACTATAGACTAGGCTGGAGGAAAACATTTTACGCTAGTATTTAAAAAATTTTCATGTTAGTGTCAAAGCACTCTACATTTTTATTCATTTCAAAGATTTTAACGCTTTAATCTAATTTTATGCTATATAAATTCGTAGCTGTTTTATTACAAATTTAATCTTTATGCAACCAAATTATTTTTCTCGCTCGCATGGCGGTTGTCGTTGCTGTTTTAGTCTTGCCCATTAATAGATGCATAAATGTGGAAAATTTAATTATAATAATTTTTCATAAAATGACCCAAAAATGTTGAAAAGAACATAATTTAGTCAAACTTTTATACTGGAGTTGTTTAACCTCCTCCAGTTTTTGTCAGATTAAAGAGAATTATTTTTTAAATATTTCTTTCATTTGCTCATTTTTAGTTGTTTTTTTGATGAATATGCATTAATTAAAATAATGGCGATTTTATTAATTATACAGTTAGTCAAATTTTTTAAAATTAATGTATGTACTATATGGAGACAAAGACAAATGTAATTTATAAATTGTTGTTAATTTATAATGATTTATAGAAATGGTATTACTGACATAAGGATTAATGCTGTGCAATTATTGGGAATGTGAAGGGGAATATTTGTTATAACAGGATTTAAAAAAAATAAATCTTTTATAAGAGTTTTACCATTTCAGTAATAATGCTAAAATTATATTTTCAAAGCTTTTGAAACTGTTTACTAGAATAAAATAACAAAAATCAATATTTAAGTTTTTGTTTTTGCTTGAGAGTAAAAATAATTTCATTTTCTTGAAATTAAAAATTTATAAAGATTTTTATTTTCAGGTTTATTTGTAGAAAACAAACAAATCAAGTTTTGTGTTTATTGTTTCTTAACTTGAAATCAATTTCATTAATATTAGATTAAATATATGCAATTTTTTTTTGTTAGAGTTTACAAATCTCCTACAAATGTATGGTATGTACAAGTACATATGTATAGTTGTATGAGTATTTTGTTCTTGATTTAATTAGAATTAGTTTTTTATAATTATAAACATTTTGTTAAAGGAAAGTAATAAATGTGCAACATAAGTGTGTATTATCACTATCGTGTAACTGTTGGAACTATTATGTTTATAGAGTCTTGTTCTAAATTGGTATTTTAAGCGGCTGAAAAAATGCTAGAACCAAATGGAGGATATATTGGTTTAGTAATTCAGTTTTTAACACATCGAGGGTATTTGATTTCTATTAGATTCTAAGACGTCCACCCACCTGTAAGTCTGCAAGTTTGTTACTTCTGCAAATTAGAAAGACTTTGGTCCAAAATTGACCAAAATCTTACGAAATTCTGTTTATTTTTAAAGCGTATGATTTGATGATGGGTAAATAAGATTATTAAGTTGGTTTATTTTACGCTGTTAAATTGCATAAAAAAATGTATCAAAATTATTTTTAACTCTCTTCTCACGATATGTATGTAAATTCATAATATCCACTCGTCAATGACTGAGTAGCATAGTACATAAAAGAAAAAATAATTTGCAAAGTACAAACAATTGGATTGTGTTCAAAAGAAAATTTTTAATACAAAACAAAATGAACAGCTGGCGGCAATGAACATATGATGTAGTATAACTAGTGAACAACATAACCCGGCAGTTTTAAATGTAGTAAATGTATAACTCATAGACTAATCACTAGATAAAAATAAATAAAATAACAGTTAAATAATTTTATTTATTTTGTCACAGTTCTATCATTATGGGTATCGTAGTTTTAATTTCTCTTAGATGTTCGGGACATTCACCCCAAATCCTCTAGTTCGGGACATTTACCCCGAACTACTGGGATATTTACAGGCAAATAACTTTAGTCAAATACCTTGGTGTACTCATACATATGTGCCACTCACACCAATCAAATAACCAACCACTTACACACTAACAATGTAGTTACATAAACAGTATGTTACAGAATTCTGCGGAGAACAAGCGTGATAAACAACTGGCGAAAATACAAAAATGCAAAACAGGAAGTTGTTAACATAAATAAGTATGGTTGAGTGTGTGAATATGAGTATACTCGTGTGTTAAGAAAGAAAACTCAAAAAAAAGGGGAACATTACTTATACACCCACAAATATGTAGGTATGTATATGAATACAAACACCAACAAGGTGTGTGGTAAGTTGTTTTAGGGAAAATTTTTCCTTTGTGTTGCTATTTTTACGTTATGTTATTGTAAATTTTTCTTAAGACAAGATAAAAAGAAAAAACACCAACATTAATAACATTACCAGCATCATCAGGAAATGAAGGAAAATGAAAGAAAGAAACAAAACAGAAAATTATCTTGGTAAAAATAGCAACAAAAGAAACAAAATTGAATATATGTTTTTTCTATACTAAATATGTGTAAAAATTGGCTAGAGTTGCGATAAAGGAAACAATACTTCTTTATATGAAAATTAGGCCGCCTTTTAAGGAAGAGTTTTCGTTTTGTCTCATATGTGGCTCTTAAGTATATTTTATATAATGTCATAATTGCAAGGCATATTATGCCCTTAGAGTAAATTTAACACAATTTAAGAAAAAAATATTTATTTAAAAGGATCCCAGCAAAAGCTAGGTAATGACTTTCAATGGTAATTACTTACCTAACAACATACTTTTCTTTGACTACTACATATTATCTGGATTACATAGAAATAGTCTAATAAGGTCTTACTAATAATGCGTTATATAAATACTTTCTAATTCATTAGTCATATTTCCAATGAAGATATAGAAGCTGTGTACGTTTTTTCATGCGATTTACAATCACTACTTTTTCTAATTACTTGTAATCGTTTGTGGTAAGTACTTGCCTCCAATGACATCACCGTGTTAAAATAACGACTTAAAATGCTATTGTGTAAAGTAAATTTTAGCACTTAACTCCTTACATGGTAATGAAAGTTTTTACTGGGATGTTTATGTGTCTTACTAAGTAAAAGTATTAATTTGAAAAATAACCAAATTCCTCTTTAAGGAATGGTATTAGAAACAATTCGTTTTTTGGACCTAGATGTCGCCATTTAATTACAGTGTCAATAACTATACCCTCTGAAAGTTTTATACTCATCATTAAAAAGATGGTAGTATATTAATATGGTCGTTTTGTTTGTAACCATAGACCTAGATTTTTGTTAGATTCTAAAACAATCTAGCAATGTCTCTCTGTAATTATGTTTATGCTTACATTTGACTGTCTGTGTGTTTATCTTTGAGCCCAAAAACTTCTCTATTGATTAGCTTAGTTTGGTATTAGAACTTTTTAATATCGGTCCATGATTTGCCATTGCTCCAATACAAGCAACGCAAATAATGCAACAACTGTGATCAAATTATGCAAAGGATATTCTCAATTTTTTATTTCCTATCCGGATTTTGTTAGAAATATCCCAGAAAGGTAGAGAACACCCTTTACTTCTGGCAAATAATCATTCACATTTACATTGACGAACAATTTAAGTACACAACTGTTAATCAGCATAATCTAGACCGAAAGCCATTAAAATAGATGCTGAACAGGTTAATTAATATTCTTATTTTGGTAGTAAAGCAGCCCTCAAAGTCCTTGAATGGGCATCTCTTCAAGAATGTTTTTAGGCGATAGGGGATTCTTGCAGATGGAGAAATCTATGACAATCTGAAAGCTAACACCCTTAATAAGGCTGCCTTGTTGTTTATAGAACACTAAAATACAACTTTTTAACAGAAAACGACGTATTTGTTGGATGAGAGGAACGGTTATCAGTTGGATTAGGATAGGTACCGATCACAAAATGATACCACAACGAGACTTTTGATTGAAACCAAATGAGCTATCTTTGACTATAAATTCCAGAATATTCCTGTATTGGACCGATCTTAACCATTTTCTATAAGCTTCTTTCCCGGAACAATAAGAGGACCAAGTACAGAAGGACAGGCGGTCAGACGGAGGGAAAGACGGACGGAAAGACGCACGAAAAGAGTACAGAAAGACGGACGGATAAAGCTGAATCCACTCAGAATGATATTCTTAGCCGATTGCTATACATTAAGATAGGTATAGGACCAATATTAATGTGCTTTACAAATATCACCACAAACCCAATATACCCTGCTAACTAAAGTGGCGTGGGATATAATTACGATATTAACATTAAATTGACAAAACATAATTGTTCTAAAATTAAATTATTCAATATATTATAAACTTCTAGGAGATCATTCTGAAATGACCTGACATAACCGTTCGATACTAAACTTTTTATTTTCATGTTAAAAATTAGGGATGATCTACATCCCTTAAACACATGGGAATGTCCGCATTAGTATTAATACACAATATTTTTCATTTTATAAATCAGTTGTTTTGATGTCATAGGAAGGAACTGGATTTGCTGAAAATTTACCTATATATAGGCAAAAATGTCATTTGTGTGCATAAACTCATACAATCACACATTCTAACATTTCCTTAATTTTCAAAAGGAAAATCTAAATATCTTATGGCAACTTGTTGCCGTTAGCTGGCTTTACATCCGTATCATTATATACACGAGCAGGAAGTACAAATTTGCTGCATAAAATCTTAACAAACAGCACATATATCTTTTTTCTGCTCTAAATAAAAATACAACTAAATAAAACTTTAAGAATATCAAATGGTGCTTCTTATTCAACTTCTTAAAGAACATGATGCCAGTAACAAGAATCTTCAAGTTGTAGAACGTAAGACTTTCAATGTGAACAAGTGTAGTTTTTTCGTTTTTTGAGGTAAGTAAGAATGAATGTTTTATAATAATGAGTATGTACAACAACGGCACAAGTTGTAGAAGCTAAAAAAAGTATATATATAAATATGAAAACTGTTGTACAATGAGCTGCCATAAAGGTGTCAATGATGCCGAAACCCACTGATGTTCATTGTGATAACAATAACGATAATAATGATGTCGTACTTGAGGCAAAAACGTAATTCTTTTATACTATATACAGATACATATATTTCTTTCATTTGCTGCTACTGTAGCACCAGTCCTTGTTATTTTATATAACTGCAGGTACATCCTACTTACAGGCATTTTTGTGGTTTATACTTTTATAACTACACGACTACAATAAAAATATTATAAACAAACCAACAGAATGAAAATTATAGTTGAGTTTTCTTTTGTGTAATATAAAAATGATTACGCATTTATAATATCTTTTTCATTTTTATATCTTTTTTCGAAAATTTACATTTAGTATTTAAATTCTAAAGACACTTTATCACTATACTTGTGCTTGTTAAATTATCTTGAATCTTAAATTTTGTTTGTGTCAGTTTTGTTAATTAAATTTTGTTTTTTTTTTCGGGGAATATAATACATAAAGGAAGAAGTTCTTTAACTTAAGATTTATTTGTTATTGTAGTCAAGTATAATGTCATTGTCATATAATCTATTGATTTTTCTAGCTATTTTTAGTTGTTTACTTCATTATTTTGACAGATTTTTGTGGTATTACTAGATATTTTTAGATGTTTTCTTTTTTTATAGATTTCCGGTCATTCGTAGTTCGGTTAAATTAAAATAAAAACAAATTTTCTCGAATCATATATACAATTTTGACGATTTTTTGAACTTTAGGGAATAACTTCTATGGGATAAAACTTCTTTTATCAACATTTTTATGCTTTAAAAAATGGCATTTTAAAATATAATCTGCTAATCAACTTACCTTAAATTATATAACATGTTAATGTACTTTATATGTATTCATGTCAAACTGACTTAATATCAATTAGTACATTTTTATACCCTACACCACTTTGGTGAGGAGGGTATATTGGGTTTGTGCTGGTGTTTGTAACGCACAATATTATTGGCTTAGAATAATTTTCTGATTCGATTTAGCTGTGTCCGTCCGTCTGTCCGTCCGTCTGTCTGTCTGTCTGTCTGTCTGTCTGTCTGTCTGTCTGTCTGTCCGTCCACGTAAACCTAGTAATCAAACTACAGTTCGCATTTTTGAAGATAATACAATGAAATGTGGTAAATGATCTTCTATTGTCCCATTATTTCGGTCCATTATTTCACCTAGCCCCCATACAACTGAACCCCTGAACAGGGCATGTAAAACTTGTAATCAAATTACAGGCTGATAATAATTCAATGAAATTTTGCACATTATCTTCTATGGTGCCGAAGACGAAGCCTTTTGAAAATTGTTAACATAGGTCCATGATTTCACCTAGCCCCCATACGACTGAACCCGACGAATAGGGCTTTAAAGTTCATAATTATGTTTAATATAATCGTATCTCGACAAAAAGCTGGCAAAAGTTCTCTCATGAATTTTATAATTATAGGGTCTCATATGACCTATACAAAGCCCCCTTCAAAATTTGACTCAAATGTCCACAATTTTATGACACAATAAATGGCTTAAGTATATCTGAGACAAGGTACAATTCAACTTAAATGCTTTATTATGAAAACTAAATCACATTTTATGTTTGTAACAGGTGTAGGGTATAGCCTCGCCCGACTATAATTTCTTACTTGTTTATATTTTATTTATTTTTTATCAATCTTCATTGTATTATACAATCCTAAAGTAAATATTGTAAAAAAAAAAAATAATAATATTTAAAATTCAAAATGAAATATTTGTTTTTACACAATCTTTAAAAATGTTTATTAATCTACTGTAAAATATACGAATTTAACTACAAATCAAATAGTTAATAGTTTTTTTTATGTAAAAAAAAAATCCATCAATTAATTATAATAATTAAATAAAATATATAACTTTGTATTTGTATAAGATTTTTTTTTCACTAGAAACGTATACATATTTTGCGTCATGTATATTCATATAAATAAATAAACAGTAAGAGCAAAAAAATTCAACTTATTTAATTAATGTATATTAAAGAAAATATTATTAAATAGTTAGACTTTGATTACATATAAAATATATACATTGACATAATGATGCTGAAAGCTACTTATTCAGTATTTATTGTTAATAATATGTACATGTATTTATTTTTTTAATGTTGATTAATTAATATTTATTTTTAATATAAAGCTATTTCTTATAAAAAATATAGTTTTTGTTGAGTATTTAATTATTTTTTTTTAAATGTTTAATATAAAAATTTTTATAAATATTAATGTATTTTTTAAATGGTATCAGGGATTAATAGTTTATATAATCATTTCTATTTGACTTAACAAAAAATTTATTTATCTTTCGATATACATATATAAATATGTATGTAGTAGTATTATATATATATTTTATAAAACAGAATTAAAACGAAAGAGCAATTATACGAGGGGTTTATAATCAAAAGCTGATATGGCCATTTTTGTGTTACTTTCGATTTAACAGAAATGCAAATACAAATCACAGACATACAAATAGTCAGACAGACATATATGTATATACATACCGGTAGACAAACAGTAAGACAATCAGACAGACAGACAGACAGACGGACGGAAATAGTACATACAGATATACAGGCAGACAGGCAGACAGACAGACAGACAGACAGACAGACAGACATAGAGATAGACAGATAGACAGACAGACAAACAGACAGATAAATATATGGAACAACAGGCAAACAGAATGACACACAGCATAGGTAGATCATTGTTAATGGTACATAAAACAGACGATATAACTTCTATCAATGGAATAACCTAGAAGATAAACTTCAAATAAAACATAAATTAGACAAAATCAGTCGAACAGAAACAACATTCAGGAACAACATTCAACAAACAGATATAGAGATAGACAGACAGACAGACAGACAGACAGATAAATAAATGGAACAACAGACAAACAGAATGACAGACAGACATAGGTAGATCATTGTTAATGATACATAAAACAGACGATCTAACTTCCATCACTGGAAGAACTTGGAAGATAAACTTCAAAGAAAACATGAAATAGACAAAACCAATCGAACGGGAACAACATTCCCAGCAATGCCAGGAAATAGAATTAAAATGTGATTGGAATAGGATAAAACTAATATATGTGATATATGGAACTCAGGTGGTCAAATAGAACCACTTGTATATAATCATAGGCACTATATGATTGGTCATATTTCGTAACTCATTGGCTACTCACGTTATAGCTTCTGTAGAAGTTGTTTGGATGAGCAAGAAGAGGAATAGGTACAACACCTTCTATGTGACATACAAGAGCATAGACTACTCTATCTTGGTAGAGAACTTTTCCATGATTTAGACTGTCACAGTGAAGCGTCACTAGTAAATATGATCGGATTTATTAGAAATACCGGCTGCTTCTCACGAGGAACGCAGGAACCACATAGTCAACGAAATTAGAGAGGAAATCCATTCTCCTTTATGTATAAACTCTAAACATAAGGGAATAGGCTACAAATAGCGAGCAACCCACGTAACCGAACCTAGCCATAGTATAACTTCAGTTTATTATTTCTGCAATTTCGAGTTTTATTTAATTAAATCTGTGGTAAAAATAACTTTAATTAACAAGTAAGTAACATGTGTTGATTTGTTAGTTTTGATATAAATCGAAAACACTTTAATTAATTAAACATGTTTTTTTCTAATAAAAAATTCTTGCTTATTTTGTTGTTATACAAAACTTACAATTATACTCTTATATATGCACTTAAATTTTGTATATTTATGTCTATTAAATTGAAATGTAATTATCTGCAGTGTATAACTTAAGGCTTTATATATGTAAGATATAATCATAACACACAGACAAATACATTAATTTATTAATGTAAACCTGCAGTTTTTCAAGAAGTCTGTGAAACTTTTTAAGACGATATTTTTCTTAGTGTTTACTTATTGACTAAATTTTTATATACTAGCGCATCTAACATAACTGGGACAAGTAAGTACTCCTTGGAATAAAGAAATGTAATCACAAATAATATATGAGGGAAGTAAATCTTCTCTTAGACTTCTTATAAAAACTAGCCATTTACTTAATTATATAATCCTAAATAACTACATTGTTTGGAACAGCCACTCCGAACTGCAGAGTTGTGGATATTTTACGTATTCTCTTGTTAACCATATTTTTAAAAACAAATATGAATCCTTTGAAGTTGTTGTTTGCAACACAAAGCACATTCAATTACAGAGACACATGGATTATTTAATACATTTGGGATAAATACAACAGAGTACAATCTAACATTTTAATAGAAATTCATAGAAATAGCTTAGGGCTTCATAGAAAATAGAATTTATAATTATTTATACGCATACATATCTCTAGTTTAGATTTTAAATTATTATCTTAGGGTATTATTTGTAAAAAGTACATTAATGTTATTAATTTTATAGTAGGTATGAAATTATTATTAGAGAAAATTATTTAAAAATATCTTTAAGTTTTGTAGGATGCTTAAACAAGTGTATTTATTTTATATGTATATTTTGTTTGTAATATAAAGAAATATATATTTCTGGGTCTAAGACGATCTAGACATATATGTTTATCTGTATGTGAAGGATCAAAAGGACAAGGTTTATATGGACACACAGACGGACGGACAGACGGACATACCTTAATCGATTCAGAAAGTCAATCTGGACCTATTGGTATACTTTAAAGTGGGTGTAGGACCAATATTTTTGGGTGTTATAAACATCAGCACAAACTCATAATACCCTACCCACAATAGTGGTGTAGGTTATAATGAAATATATGGGATAAAGTAACTTAATGAAGTGGGCCTTAAATGAGAGCTATGA